TATTAATTACTCCCTCCAGCGAGAGATCGAAACAAAAATTACCCAGGATAATTATTAGAGCATATTCGGTAATCTTAAAATCTTAAGGATATTCTTATCTTTTATTTAAAAATAAAATTAATTTCTGTATAACTTAATTAAAATAAATTAAGCATCAGCAAGCGATGGGTCTTGTTCTATCGCAAATGCAGTGCCTCAATCTGATCGTTGTTGTATAGCTAAAGCGGGTGGGTTTTCGATTTCCGGTTTTTGGTAGTTCTAATTTATAAATTTATTTCTTTAGATAATTGTGAAAAAATGGGAATGCTAGATATTGGAGGTGAATTTTTGAATTTTTTGGTAGATAGCATACCGTATTTTCTCGATTAATTCCCCTCCCTCGAATAATTCCCCATCTCGATTAATTCCCCCTGCCAGGGATGGGTTGAAATAATAATTCCCCACCCCCAAATACCCTACTGCACATCAAATGCCAAAACTCGAATAATTCTCTCCCTCGAATAATTCCCCATCCCACGGATGTGTTGAAATATTAATTACCCAGGGAAATTAATCGAAAAATACGATAATTGTTGTTGTTGTAGGAATATTTATTGTATAATTAAAAAACCCTTAATAATTTTTTAAATTATTTTAGCTGGAATTGAAGGTACTTGTGACGGATCAGCAATTTATTTGGAAGGTCGTTGTTGTCTGCCTGATACTACAACAACAACAACTAGTCCTACAACAACAACTACACAATCTACAACTACAATTGTTACAACTCCAACAAAAATTTGTCTTTACAGAAATGATGTTTTTCAAATGTGTGAGTCTAGTAGGAGGGATATTTAAAATAAAATTTTATAAAATAAAATTGTTGTGTCCGCACTTTAGAAAGAACATAAATAATAAATAACCCAGCATCGGGTTGTATGGTCCCACAGTCAGTTGTGCTTCGGTTTGGGCCCTTTCCGTGATGGTACTTGTACTTGGGATGGATCTATTCCATCTCCCATTCAATTTATTTTTCTACAGCACGCACACAATAAAAATATTTTTCAGCCAAAATTTTTTAAATGAATTTAAAAATAGTGGTTTAGTGGTATTTTATTAGTTTTTGTTTTATAATAAATTAATTATAAAGCAAGAATTTTTGATAGTTTGAGAGATTAAAAATTAAACAAATTAAAATAAAAATATTAAATTAGAGAATAATTTTTTAGATTGTCAAGACAAACAATCGCCGCAATTTTGTCAATCAAATTTAGGGAAATGTACATCAGAGAATATTGTAGATAATTTATTTTTCTAAAAATTTTTTCAAAAATTTTTAGTTACAAAAATATATAATGGCATATGCTTGTTGTTATAGTTGTTATTTGGCATTTCCAAAATATTTGCCAGAACATAAAGGAAATAAGAGAAGGCCTGATTGTGGTGGGGGAAATGAAGAAACAAATAAATGTGTAGATAAGGATGAGAAAGGTTGTAAATATTGGGCTGCTGAAACAACTACAAAATGGTGTAGAAATAGTGGGGTAAGTTTGAAATTGAAATTATTTTTCCGTAAATTGAAGTAATTAATGTACTCATACCCCATATTTAAACTGTGAGGATGATTCACCTAGAGCAGTTAAAACGTTTAAGTGGGGGTATCAGTGGATATATATTGTGGACTTGGAAATTCAAGGAATTTTGGGGATTATGAGGGACATCAAGTGATATCCCTCTTAATCTCTCGGTCTCGATTCTCGATTTGTTCTCAGTCTCGACTCTTGACTCTCGGCTTTTAACTCACTAGTAAGGATGTAAGGATAATTCACCTAAAGCATTTAAAACGCTTAGGCGGGGGTTAAACGAGATAAAAGGATAAAAGAAAAAGCATTGGTCAATGCCCAGGTAGCTTAGCGAAAGCTTCTAGCAATAACTACGAGGAGGTCACAGGTTTGAATCCTGGCTGGTGGCAAAACTTTTGCTAACCTCTTTCTAAACTAAGGCTTTTTTGAATGTTGGCTGGCTTTATTTAAATATTTATTGAATTATTAAATTAACTCATTTTAAGCACTTTGGTGAAACAATGAGAAAGAGTTGCTGCAAATCATGCACTGAAACTTGAAGGAATCTTTAATTTTGTTTTAATTATTTATTTTTTGTTTTATTTCTTAAATAAAGGATTTTAATTACTCTAATTCTACCAGAAAATCTCTAAATATTTTTAAAGCCCCCGAACTTTCATCTTAAAATCCTTCACATGATATAATATACAAAATTCACATGATATAATTTCTATTGAAATAAATTATTTTTAACTCAATCAATTAATAAAAATTTTTTATTTAATATTTTTTATGAAAAAAATTTTTAGAATTTAATAAAATAAATATATTAATATTTACACATCTGTAAAGCTAAAATTAAAAAAGCTAAAATTTGAAAATTAAAACTTTTTTATGGCAAACCTTTTCTTTCTCTCTCTCCCAATTTAAATATTAAATTAATTTTTAGAAGTTGCCATTTTCAAAATAATTACTAATTTAAAAAAAAATTTTTTAAGCAAAAATGAGTTTTATTAAATCTTTTTATTTAACTTTTTTATTAATTTTTATATTTAAATTATTGCCTTCTTTTTATTGTAAAGGAGTATGTTCAAGTATGGGATTAATTGATGTTGGTGGTGAGTTTTTTTTATTTTCGTTTAAATTGAAATGTATGTACATAAGTAAAAATCTTTTAAATAAGGATAATTAAGAATAAAATTTGTCTGATTAAAAAATCATTTGAATTGTTTTTGCATGAAAGAAATTTAAAAAAAATTTACTGGTAAAAATTTTTGGCAGTAAAAATTTTATTTTAAAAATTTACTACCCAAACCATTTACTGGCGAATAAAGTTGGCAGATCCGTATATCCGGAAATTTTCGATTCGGATACCGGATCCGGATATCCGAAGATTTCCAACTATCCGCCAAACTTAATGGCGAAATCACCTGACACAGAGTGATTGTTGTTGTAAAAATTGTTGACTTAAAATGTAAAAATTTGGGAATGATGGAAGTTGGATGTTAAATAGTTATTTTTTAATTATTTAAAAATTTATTTTTTTAAATAGATCCTGTTAATGGAGGGTGTAGCAATGGTGCTCAATTAATTAATAATCATTGTTGTGGTAACTCCCCTTGTATAAAAAAGGGAATGGAAGATACTGGACGACGTAAATATTAAAATTAAAGAAAAATTTTTAAAGAAATAATTTAGGTGGAATGCAAGGTAATTGTGATGGAGGAGCTACATATGTAGAAGGACGTTGTTGTAAGAAAAAAGAACAAAAACAAGTTACAAGTAAACCATTAAACGAAATTGAAATACGAACTTGAGGAATAAATTTTATTCAAAAAATTATTTTTAATTGGAAAAAATTATAAGAAAATGAAGATCCTTTTGGATATTTAAAAAGATTATTTAATATTTAAATTTACTTATATTCATTTCGTATACCTCACATTTAAATTTCTTTTTATTGGAATATGGCCTTTTGATTTCTTTGTAATATTTTTTATAAATTTCTATTTTTAAATTAAAGCTAGCTAATTGATAAATTTTTATTGGGTAACAGAAAATAAAGTTTTATTTTTTTCAAATTTTCCCTTAAAGTTATTAAATGCCCATTTTAATTAAAAAATTATTTTTAATCTTTTTTGTATTTTGGGTTAATTTTAATTTAATAATTGTAAATTGTTGGCAAGGAATATGTGAATTGCAAGGTTTAATTGATGTTGGTGGTCAGTGCTTATTTTTTAGTGAAAAAAAATATTTTTAAATATTTACCTATTTTATCTTTTTAATTAGTTTATTTTTGGTTTAATTAAATCAACTATAGAGGGTTTTTAAACACTCATATGGAAAGGAGTATTAAGAACTTACATACTGTAAATGTTGAAATAATGCCCCTCTCTCAAATACGCCTTCCCTTTTAATTACCCCCTCCAGCTAGAGGTTGAAGCAATAATTACTCTGGGTAATTATTTTAGCAAATACGGTATATCCCTGTTTTTTGTATTTAAATTTCCAATACTTTTCTGTACAAAATTTTAATTAACTCTGCCAAAAAAGAAATAAACCTTTAAATATTTAAAACTCCCCAAACTTTCATCTTAAAATCCTTCACAGGATTAATTTCTATCGAAATTGTATCAAATAAATCAATTAATAATTTTTATTTAAAAAAGTTTTTTAAATTTAATGAGGATATAAATAAATATTATTAAGTATTTACACATCTGTAAAGCTAAAATTAGAGGAGCTTCTAAAACTTTAATTCTGGCAAAACTTTACTTTTCTCTCTTTCTCTCTCCCAACATCAATATCAAATAAAATTTTAATAGTTGCCATTTAAATAAAATAATTAATTAAAAAAAATTTTTTTAAAGAAAAAATGCTTCTTAAAAAATCTTTTTATTTTAATTTTTCCTTAATTTTTATATTTAAATTATTGCCATCTTTTTATTGTTTTAAAGGAATATGTGAAATATTGAAATTAACTGATGTTGGTGGTTAGTCCTAATTTTTGTTTAAATTGATTGAAGTTAAAAATTTTTTATATAAAAATGCTGTGAAATAAAAATTGACTTTGTCCTTACAAAAAATCTGATAAAAAAAATCGGTACTGCAAAGCTATAACTTCGTTCAAAATTGTCAAATCCGGGACGCTCTGGTATAGTTCGATTCAGCTCGTCAAGGTGCATCGAACCATACCAAGGCGTCCCGTTCGAAGATTAGTTCTGCGGTACCCTTAGCACGCGGTACCTTGGCCTTCTCCCCAAAAAATGGGGTTTTCAGCAGAAAATAACGGGAAAAAGATCCCACCTTAAAGTAATCTTCTAATAAAATCAAAAAGTTTTCTATAAAATAAACAAACTACAAGACAGATATAATTTAAAAATAATGTTTTTGTAAATAAAGTTTAATTAAGAATCTACTAACGATGGTTGTCCTACTGTGCCATATGCAGTAAAATATATGGATCGTTGTTGTATTCAATTAAACTGTAAAACGTTGGGAATGATGGAAGTTGGATGTTAGTTATCTTTTAGATATATTTTTAAGTTTATTTTTTAAATAGCTCCTGACGATAATGGAAAGTGTGAGGATGGGGCCCAATTTGTTAATAATCAATGTTGTGATATACCCCCTTGTACTAAAAATCAAATGGACGATATTGGACGTGAATAATAGATTAAAAAAATTTTTAAAGAAATAATTTAGGGGGAATGGAAGGTGTTTGTGATGGAAAAGATACAAAATATATAGATGGACGTTGTTGTGTTGCGAAAAAAGAACCACCAACAACAACAACTCCTAAACCCTCAACAACAACTCCTTTGGGGCTTTATGTAAATGGACGCTTCTTTATGAGTTTGTAGTTTAAATATTTTATTTAAACTACAAAGGGTGTGTTAAAAAAAAAATAAAATGAAACTTTATAATCAACTAAAGTTGGAGCTCATTTTTAGATATTTTTTGGGAATGGAAAAAATCGTATATTACCTATATTCAGAGTAGGGTTGTTGGTTCTGGACCGACCTGAACCGAAGAAACGAGGATTTTTCCGTTCGGTTCTTCGGTTCGGTTTCGGACATCCGAAGAATTTCCATGAACCGAACCCTAATTAAGCAGTATCATAAATTGGGTATTGCTTAAGCAATTCGAGGTATCTAAAAGTTAGGGTTAAGTGTACAATAATAGATATATTTTACAATATAAATTATTTAAATTAAAATGTTAATAAAGAAAAATATTAGTTAAGATTATCTATAATATTTTCCTGTAGACTTTCAATAATCCTAAAAACAAAATCAAAAATTTTCAGATTGTGCAGATAAAGAAAGTGATCGCTTTTGCCAGGATAATATTAATAAATGCATGGTAAGGAACATTTTTGAATATTAAAGTTAATTTATTTTTTGACTCTGATTTTTTTATAAATTAATTTTAAATTTTTTAGCAAAGAAATGGTGGAAGAAATTGGGGACGAGGAAGAAATAGAATAAATAAAAAATATATGGCCTTTAATTGTTGTAATTCTTGTCGACTAGCGTTTAAAGATTTTTTGCCTACATTATATGGAGGAGGGAATAATAATAATGATTATGATGATATTAATGATGATTATAATAATGATGATGGTTACGGATATAATAATGGATATAATAATGGTTATAGAGGCAATGGTAGACGAAATTGGTGAAATAATGAAAGCTGAAGAAAGAAATTGAATGAAGAGGATAAGGAGGAGGAACTGTAATTTTTAGGGTGGCACTCCGAGCCTTCGTGGGCGGGATCTTCGGGAATCGGGGTTTGTCGGGTTAGAGCCTTAAAGTTCGGGTCGGGGTTTCGGGGACGTGGTGCTACCCTAATAACTTTATGAAATACCTATACTAAATGATGAAAATAAAATTATCTTTATATTTTACAAATTAATTGAAAATATTTAAACAAAAAAGGATAATTTTTACTGTAAAGTTAAAGTATTAATTTATAAAATTATTTAGTTTTGTAAAATCTAAACATAAATACCCAATATGTATACTACAAGTATAAAAAACTACCAAATTTATGTTGGGTACTTATCCCAACCCCCCCCCCCCAGTCCACATTTTTGTTGATGTACGAAATGGTCAGTCATTTCTTCCTTGCATAATTTAACGAAATTTCCTTGTGACTTCTTCTGTAAATCACCCTTCAATAAACAAAAAAAAGATGACTGGATTGAGAGTGACCGGATGAATGAAGCCACATGAAAATTTAGTTAAATTATGCAAGGAAGAAATGACTGGGAATTTCGTACATCAACTAAAACGCGGACTCTCTCTTTTTCTATTTTTGAAGACTAATACCTACTAATTTGTTTTTAAAAGTTAAAGAGATTGAAAAAAGAAATGTATTTTCTCAAGAATTTTTGAAATTTGGATTTTGAATTTTTTTTAATTTTAGAACCTAGCTAACGAAAAGTCCGCAAGTTTTGTCCGCAAAAAAAGAATGCGGACAATAATTGACCGCAACAGAATGCGGGCAAAAAACAGAATTTTTATCCAAAAAATGTTCTTTTTGATGAAAATATCTCTTCCTTTCTTCTCCTTTTTGAGAGAATAATCCTTTTTATCATTCCTGTCATCTTCTGAAAAATTGCGGATAAAAATTGCGAACTTTTCAAGAGGATGCGTGGAAATAGCTTTTTTAAGCTTTTCATTTTCTAAAATTATTTCCTTAAATAAAGCTCGAAATGAGGGAGATTGTCAAAGAAATCGAAAAAATTCGATTTCTATTTAAACCCAAAGTTTTATTTAAATAAGTTAAAGTCACAAAAACCAAAATAAATTATTTTCAATAAAATCAACAACCAAACAAAAAACCTGTCAATTTTCTAGGCATTATTTTCCTTTGCACATTCTTTCATTTGCGATCCCTGTTTTCGTTCTTCTTCAAATTTAGCCTTCCAATCATTAATCGCATCGTAGAGACAGCGATGGTCAGACCTTTAAAAAATTTTGTTTTTAATTATAAATTTTATTCAAAGCATGGCAACTTAACCCGAATCAAGCAGGATTAGGGTGGATAATCTTAAACCCAGACTTTTTTCCAAAAGTAATTTTCAATTCGATTTTTAACGAAAGAGAAGTCCTCGAATTGAAGGACTTTGAATTGAAATAGAAGCAAAAGAAGTCCCAATCAGAGCTCTGAACAAAATCCAATGAGTGATTATTGACTAGATTTTTTCCATTTATGTTATTTATTTTCACATATTTACAGAATAAAAAATTTTTGACCCTATCCCGAAAGAAGGGTCGAATCGTTTTTTTCATTACTTTTTATTAGTTTATAAAAATGGTCATTTTTCCTTAGAATTGATGTATGTTGATGTTTGCCTTAAGGAAAAATGGTGACAGAGGCACAGCGGGTTAAAGAGGACATTGTGTAGTGTCTAATTTTCTCTGCTTCTCTAATTTTCTCCTAGAATAAAGCATTACTCTCATTTTTCATTTTACCCACAAAACTTTGAAATCCAATATCTCGGCTTATAGACGTTAGTTTTAAAATCGCTCCCGCTATTTTGTGCAAAACTATTTAATAAACAATTAGGCAAAAAATTAAAAAAATTTACCCATTTTTAAAAAATTGTATTCGCGAATAAACAGGTCGTTTTTGCGAATAAATGGGTTTCTCTGCCTATGTCCTGTCTGTCAACTAAGTTAACCCGCTGTGCAGAGGTTAACTTTTTATATTTTTCCTTGTTTTTGTTTGCTGGGCGGACTCGGAGACACAAAACACGGACGGATCAAGACGGACAAAACACAGACGAACACGAACAGACAAAATACAGACGGACCCGGACAGACAAAACATAGACGGACACGGACGGACCCAGACAGACAAAACACGGACGGACCCGGACAGACAAAACACGGACGAACTCGGACAGACACGGACAGACAAAACATAGACGGACACGGACGGACCCAGACAGACAAAACACGGACGGACCCGGACAGACAAAACACGGACGAACTCGGACAGACAAAACAAGGACGAACTCGGACAGACACGGACAGACAAAACACGGACGAACTCGGACAGACAAAACAAGGACGAACTCGGACAGACACGGACAGACAAAACACGGACGAACTCGGACAGACAAAACAAGGACGGACACGAACGGTCGGACATGTGTCCGTTTGTGTTTGGTCCATCCTTGTTTTGTCTGTCTGTCAAGGGCGTATCCAGGGGGGGCTGGGGGGGGCTAGAGCCCCCCCCCCCCGAAATGGGGGAAAGGGGGAAAAAATTAGGAGAAGGATGGTCGAAAAAGTGAAATTTTTTCGCCTATAACCCTCAAATTTTAAAAAATTTTCGCCTGCGGCGCAAAAAATGGAAGAAATCTGGCTTCTTGAGCTCCAAAATCCTCAAAATTTTCGCCTGCGGCGCTAAAAAGTAAACTTTTTTCGCCTATAACCCTCAAATTTTAAAAAATTTTCGCCTGCGGCGCAAAAAATGGAAGAAATCTGGCTTCTTGAGCTCCAAAATCCTCAAAATTTTCGCCTGCGGCGCTAAAAAGTAAACTTTTTTGGCCTACGGCCCTCCAAATTCAAAAAATTTCTGCCTGCGGCGCTAAAAAAGGAAGAAATCTGGCTTCTTCGGTTCCAAATTCAAAAAATTTTCGCCTGCGGCGCTGAAAAAGTGAATTTTTTGGCCTTCGGCCTTCTAAAATCAAAAAATTTTCGCCTGCGGCGCTAAAAAAGGAAGAAATCTGGCTTCTTGGGCTCCAAATTCCAAAAAATTTTCGCCTGCGGCGCTGAATAAGTGAATTTTTTGCCTACGGCCTTCTAAAATTCAAAAAATTTTCGCCTGTGGCGCAGAAAAGATAAAAATTTATGTACAAAAAAAAATTTGCGTCCGGAACGCCAAGGCAAACGCCAAAAATTTTTGCGCCCACCCAGTGTTAGCCCCCCCCGAAACCGACCCCCTGGATACGCCCTTGCTGTCTGTGTTCTTCTGTCATTGTCTGTCCTTCTCCATTTTTCCTTAAGGCAAACATCAACATACATCAATTCTAAGGAAAATTGACCATTTTTATAAACTAATAAAAAGTAATGGAAAAAAACGATTCGACCCTTCTTTCGGGATAGGGCCAAATTTTTCCACTACTAGGATTCGAACCTTGACCCCTTGGTTGTCGAATTAAAAACTTTCCCACTACACCAAAGTGACAATTTTCTCGTAGTGGATTTTTGAAAGTGATCGACTTGGATCCGGATCTAAATAATTGATTTTTCAAGGAAACAGAGCCGAGACCAAGGTCTTTTTTCATAATTTACGGTCTTTAAAAGCCCATTTCCCCCCACTACACCACAGCGACGACTCCAATGGATGAATTCATTGACTGGTTAGGTGGTTAAGTTGCCATTCAAATAATTTAAAAAAACAAACTCTTTCTCAGCACTAATCGGAATACGGACGTATGAAGATGAGCATGAAGGTTCACACTCTTCTGACTCAACACGTTGACGTCCAATTTTAAACAAGCGTCGGCTTCTCGCTATTAACCAATCACTGCAATATTTAAATAAAGGGTCCTGAAAATTTTTTAAAAATTTTTGAAAAAATTTTTACAAAAAAAACTTGATTATTCGCAATATTATTCAGTCGAGTCATCATTTCTGCAGCAATTTCAGTTTTTCGAAATTCCCAATATTCCTCGTCACGCTCCTCTGTAACGCTCGATTTATCAGTCACCATTTTAATTAATAAATTTAAATACAGTAGTCGACATAAAGATAGGGACAAGAGTAATTTAAATGAAAATTAACTATTTTTCGGTCGAAAAATACGTTCTATATATCAATCGAAAGCTCTATTTATATCTCAGTTGACATGTTTCTGCATTTTTCATGAAAATAAAAATTGGCCGAGATATCCGGATTAAGCCGGATATCCCAAATCCCACAGCCTCGGAAAAAATTTTCGGAAAAAATCTAACAAACCCAGTTGATAAAGCATATTTTTGTGAGTATGTATCACAAAACCGCTTAAAAATATCTTTTTCCAGTCCAGAGATATGATTTTTTTAAAATGGCATTTTTCGTCAATTTTTGCAAAAAATTCAATTTTTAAGGGAAAAATGCCATTTTCAAAAAATCATATCTCTGGTCCGGAAAGAGATATTTTTAAGCGGTTTTGTGGTATATACTCACAAAAATATGCTTTATCAACTGGGTTTGTTAAATTTCTTCCGAAAAATTTTTCCGCGGATATAGGATTTGGGATATCCGGCTTAATCCGGATATCTCGGCCAGTTTTCATTTTCATGAAAAATGCAGAAACATGTCAACTGAGATACAAATAGAGCTTTCGATTGCTATATAGAACGTATTTTTTGAATTAAAAATAGTTAATTTTCATTTAAATTACTCTTGTCCCTATCTTTATGTCGACGACTGTATGTATGCTAACACTAAATGTAAGGTATTATAAAACGATTGGATTGAACGAGCATGTATGATTTTTTGTGGCTAAATTTTTATCGAAAATAGTTTGTGACAAAATGTCAAATTTTCCAAAGTGTGACCAAATGGTTTGTAACCACTTTTAAAAACGAAAGATAATACAATTATAAGAGAGAGGACAGAAAAATGGACAAAAATCCGGTGGGGTATCTTTCAGTGCGGGCGATTTCGAGCCGGCCGCGGCCGGAGCAGGACTAATAGGCGCGGCCGAATAGACGCCCGACTAGAAATTTTTTTTCTGATTTTTTTCTTTTTGTTTTTCTGTTCTGATTTTTTTGTTCTGATATTCAGATTTTTTTTTTGATTAATTAATAATATACAAAAAGCTACTTGAGATTGTGCTTGTTCCTAATATTTCCTTACATTTAGAGAATAATCAATTAATATTTAATTTTTATAAATTTAACAAAAATTCCAATGGTGGTAAGTATTTTTATATATTTTTAAAAAATCATTTAAATTTTTTCAAGTCATTTTTTGGATTTGGTCAATCAGCAGAAATTGCCATTCAACTCAAAAATGAAGAACAACAAAGGACAACTAGAATAAGAGTTGATGATGGACAATATGAGGTTTTTTTGGGAAGAAAAAGAAAAATTTTTGTTTAATTTTTTAGACTTTTTATTTATTTTATGATGGGGAAAATGTTGAAGGAGAAGTTTTGATTAATTTGAAAAAGCCTGGACAAAAATTGGAACATCAAGGAATTAGAATTGATTTTGTGGGACAGATTGGTTAATTTTAAAATTTATTCGAAAAAAAATCATTTTTTTAGAAGTTTATTATGACAGAGGTAATCAACACGATTTTCTTTATCAGTCAAAAGAATTGTCTAAAGCTGGGGATTTGTATCAAAATACAAAATTTGAATTTTGTTTTGCTAATGCTAGTAAACCGGTTTTTTTTTTAAATTTATTTGATAATACCAAGGCTGGTTTCCCCCTTTTCTGTTTTCTATTTTTTTCATTTTTTTGGAAAATTAAATCCATTCGAAAGAGCTTTTCGATCTGAGTAAAACGGTACTAAAATCATCAAAATCTGACTTAAATCAACATAGTTATGAGCTTTGATTTTAATCCCCTTCAACATCACAAAAAGCAAGTCCATCAAGTATTTAGCTTCATAATTTTGTTCATAATCGCCCAATCTAATCGATCATGATATCATTCTACCCAGCTCGAACAGCTCAAAATGGTCAGAGAAACAGAAAAAAGGGAGGAGACCAGCCGTGGTTTATTTTTTTTAATTTATAATATTTTTTAGTATGAAACTTATATGGGATCAAATGTCAAATTACGCTATTTTCTGCGTGTCACAATTATGAGAAGACTTACCGACATTGTAAATGAAATGGAGGTTTTGTTTATTTATAAAATTTTTAAATTTAATTTTAGATTGCTGTCCACTCATTAGCTACTTATCCGGATAATGATGCTAGTATTAAAATGGAAGTTGGAATCGAAGATTGTCTTCATATTGAGTTTGAGTATAACAAATCAAGGTATTTATCATTTTTTAGACTTCTAGCAAGTTCCTTGACCTGCTAATTTTTTATCAGTTATTCTTTTATTTTTTCGGCTCAATTTATTCAATAAAACAAGCCTTGTGTTTCCATTTTCAGAAAATTCATTAGAAATTCAAATTTGTTAAATAAGGATTTTATTGTTTGAGTTTATTAGCATTAGGTCTAAAATGCTTTTAAATATACCAGCTTTTAGGATACACAAGTTAAAATTGGGATAAACCCCGATATATCACGAGCCTAGTATACCGCCGAGTTATAACTTCGTTCAAAATTAACGAATCCTGGAGGCTCTGTTATAGTTTGGTTCAGCTCGTCGACGGACCATACCAGGACGTCCCAGAGGCGACAATTAAAAAAAAGTTATAGCTCTACGGTATACTGGGCTTGCGGTATATCGGCCAGCTCCCGTAAAAAATTTGTATTTAGTTTTCGAAATTTTTTAAATATTTTTACTCAATTTTCTAACCTTTTTTATTTTCTTTAATAATTTTTCCTAGATATCATTTAAAAGATGTCATTGTTGGAAAGATTTATTTTCTTTTGGTTCGAATTAAAATAAAATATATGGAAATTGCAATATTAAAAAGAGAATCTGTCGGTAACGGTCCAAATATTTTTAATGAAAGCGATAATATCGCAAAATATGAAATTATGGATGGAGCCCCTGTTAAAGGTTTTTTCTTTAAATTTTTTGAAATTAAAAATAATTTTAGGAGAATCAATTCCAATTAGACTTTTCCTCGCTGGTTATGATTTAACTCCAACAATGAGGGATGTTGCCAAACGTTTTTCTGTTCGTTATTTTTTAAATTTGGTTTTAATTGATGAAGAGGATAGACGATATTTTAAACAACAGGTTCTTAAAATTTTTTTGTGATTGTTAAGAACAGGCCCGTAACCGCGATTTTTTCTGTGGCGGAGAAGGATCATTTTCGGCGCCAAAACTTTTTATTTTTAGGCTGTATGCCAAAAAATCCTCTTTTTTGCTTGATTCTCTCCCGAAAATTTTTTCTTTTTTCCGCATTTTTCTAAAATTTTCCCCATTTCGGGTGGAGTGAGCATTCCCCATGATTACGAGCCCGGGTTTTAAATATTTTATTTACAAAATATTTAAAAATTCTCTCTTGACATTTATTAAATTTTTTTGTTGAAATAATGCCCTTTCTACAGATTTATGTCTCACTAAAAATGAAATATTAACTTTTTAAATTTGTTTGGTGGAACAATCAAAATTTTTTAAATGATTCAGCTATTCATTATATTGGGTGAATCTTGTTTTTAGTGAGACCTAGAGGAGTAGAATGGGCATTGTTTTAACCAAGAATTTAATTATTATAATCTAAAAAGGACATAGCCAGGGGTCGATTTTGGAGGGGCTAACATGGGGTGTGCACCAAAATTTTAGCGTTTACTTTGGCGTTCCCGACACAAATTTATTAAACCTATACTTTTAATTTCTTATATAGGAATTAAAAATTAATTTCCCCACTCCTTGCTATGCCCTTGTAATCCAAAGGGCAATATTTTTTCATTTCTAATTATTTCAAAAATTATTTTTAAAGGAAATAATTCTTTGGAGGAGATTAGAAAAACCTTTTGCTATTCGACAACCAATTCAACAACATTTCCAGCAATCTCAGGGCCCAACGGCTCGGGCTTCTATGGGTTCGCCTCCCTCCTCTCCTTTACCTACAAATTCTTCTGTTGAAGAATTAATTGAAAATAAACAACAAAATGAGGAGGAAGAGGAAGAATAAATGAAAGGTTTTTTTAAATAAAGAAAATAAAATAAATTTAATTTTTTTAAGATGACAATAATTTGAATGAATTTATATTTAAAATTAAATATTTAACAAAATAAAAATGAATGGCTATATTTAATCTTTACATATTATTATTTTTAATTTATTACCATCAAATTTAGCATATTAAAATTTATATTCACTGGATAAAAATATTTTGAAAAAATATTTTGAGAAAAAGGAGCTAAATTTTGTTTTGATAAAAAATTTACTTACAAGTAGGGTTGTCGGTTCCTGGAAAATTTTCGGGTATCCGGAACTGAACCGAAAAATCGTCGGTTCTTCGGTTCGATCCAGAACCGACAACCCTACTTACAAGGAATTATCGTTTACTGTCATTGTGAATTGGATATATTTTTAGATCATTCGACAGAGACTTTGACAGCCCATAATTCGGCCCAAATTCATTCTGCAATAAAACGGATATCACTTTGCAATAGGAAGGTGGATGTCTTCTATCGAATGATACTAAAAATTTATCGAATTCGCACTTAAAATAAACGATGGTTCCTTGATAGTGAATTTGATTTACCTTAAAATTGTATGAGAGAAAAGAATGGATGTGAATTAAATTTAAATTATTTTTTATTAAAGAACCCAAATTTATTTTTAATTATTTCCTTCCTTTTATTTTCGATTGTTTTCTCTTTAAAAATTTTTTTTATTTTCTGCTGGTCATCCTCTCGACCTTATCCTCCCTCCTCTCTTTAAAATTACAATTTAAAGAGGACAGTTGTTTCTAGGAAATTATTTTTTAACAAGAGAATGAATTGAATAAATAGATTGGGGGAGAAGTCTAGAAAACGGTCATTCTCTCTTCCGGTTGAGGGTTTTTGAAGTAATTGAGGGGAAAGTAAAATTGTTAGTATTAAAGTGCGACAGATGTTCTCTTTTTTCCTCTTTTCTTTTTTTCGTTGACCAT